CCGGGATCGCGAGTGACCGGCATTGACTCCGGCCCGGAGCGGAGCTCCCTTAGGTCCCTGCCAGCAGCCTGCCCTGCGATCCGCTCCGGGTCAGGCTCCACAGGACGAAAGTTCCAGGATCACCCAGCCGCTCTTGGGGCTTCTCGGATTCGGTCCGTCTGTAGTCGCGCAGGCAGCCCTTGAAGACCGAGGACACGCGCGCGCCGCGGATCTCAGGCCTGGACCCAGGAGACTCCCTCCAGCCTGTCCGCTCCAGCCCGCCCTTTCTGCTGCACTTGCAGAGACCACTCTGCGGTCCAGGGCAGGGCTGCCAGCTCCAAGAACAGCCCCTGCCACCTGCCCTGGGCCCGTCGCAGGTCTGGAACTCTGCGGGATTTTGGCGATGTACCAGAGACTGTCAAACGTTTCAGTAGGGAGCACGGCAACTCAGTTAAGTGCCTTGCTCAGAGTCATGAAGTTCAAGGTGAGAAGGGACCACCTGAAGGCCAAGCCTGAGTAGAGTTCCTTTTTTGCAGAGTTGTCCTACTCCCAGCCTGAGAAGCTGGTGAAGGGTAACTGGACGTTTTGGATCCATGTTTCCCTTCTTTGTTGCCCCCAGAGATCCTCGGAATCTTGAGCGATCCTGCTTGGGGGACTCTGCTTCCACCTGGCTGGATGAGGCAGCGTCACTTGACCAGGTGGATATCCGCTAAGGATGTAACTCCAGCTGTGCCTGTCACCCTGCACTGCACACGGTGGGTTCCTGCGCCGCCCAGCTTGCAGTGCTGTTCAGAACACTTCCCATTCTTCACCTGCTCCCACTCCACAAGTATCCAGCCGCGTTCTTCTCCTTGCTTGATTATTTCAAGGGCCAGAGAGGCCGGAGCACAGGTTTACCTCCTCTCCCTCTTCGCTCAAGTGCCAGGGGGCCTCATCTGTCTCCAGCTCATGATCATAGGCCATTTAACTGGCAAGGCCGTTTCCCCATCTGTCAAATGTCTAAATACCCACCTTATAGGGTCACTGTGAGGACGGAACAGTTTAATAGGTAACAGCTGAAACATGGTAGAAGAGTGCACACACCGTGTGCACATCACAAGTGTCAGCTCTAACTACTGTCACTCTTGCTGCGGCGTTCACACCAGTCTTGTGGGATTGGCTCAGGGATTACAGATTTTGTGCAAGATAAAACCCCTGTTGGTATGAGAGACACAGTATGACTCATTAAATAATGCACGTCCCCATGATGAGGATTTTAACTGCCTGCCGGACCGACTCAATCTGACCTCCTCTACCAGCTCCTCCTCCTGTACTATCTTTTGGTATCACTGTGTCCTCAGATTCAGAATCTCAGTATCATCCCCAGCCCCTTCACCCCTCAGACATTCACTCCGTTATCACCTGGGGAGGGAGATCTCATCCCATCACCTCCACCACCAGCACCGTTACCACCACCTCCACCTCATTCATACACACATCTACAAGCACATCCCCCGGCTCCTTTTCCTGCCTTGTTTCCAAAGTCCTTTCTATCAGCTGGCATCTGTATGTGTTTATTCATTCCTTTATTTACCACATAGTTTTATTTATCCATCTTGTTAATTTATCTGTGTGTCTGTACTACCACTCAAGTTCCATGAGGGCAGGTTTGGTCTGGTTGGCTTCTATGCTGCCACCACCTAGAACACTGCCTGGTACCCAGAATATGCTTAGTAAAGTGCTTGTGACATAAATGCAGAGTTTTTGACACCCCCACACACACATTCACACATGTCCCTGCCCTTTTTGTACACCCACCACCTGTCAGTGCCCCCCGGTGCTGCCCAGCTAGCTGACCACACTGGACTGCCTTCAGGGTCTTGCCTGCAGGCACCACCTCACAGTTGGCTTTCCCACAGTGAAGCTTAGACATGCAGCCTTCCACGGCTCACCTTGTTTTCCTAATTAAATCCTCATTTCTCACCTCTCTTTCAAAGTCTAAATGGTCCCTCATCAGATTGTCAGCTCATAGACAGCCAAACAGAATTACCCTCTGACCCTCAAATTCTTGAATTTTCCTATATATATGTATTCCTTCTTCCTGGAACCTCACCTTCCCACCCCTGCCTGCTCAGTCCAGCAAGGCCTGGCTCTGGTGCCAGCACCTCTCCCAGAAGCCTTTTGCCTGGCCCAACCACTTTATTTTATTATTAGTAGTAGCAGCATATGTTTGCAGTATATAATGTACATTCGTTGCTTGGAGTTGGTACATGTGAATAACACATCTTAATTCCTTTTTTCATCTCCTTCCCCTCTCCTCCTTCCCCCTTCCTCCAGCTCTTGATCCCCTTCCCAGCTGGGAAAGATCTATACCTCTACTTCCTGTTTTATTTTATTTTGCTCTTTATTTATGATTTGGATTTCTCAAATAAGAGAAGCCATGCAATATTTAATCTCATGTGTCTCATTTATTTCACTTAACATATGGTCTCCATGTATATCTATTTCCTTACAGATGACTCAAGCCTATCCTCCTTTATAGGGGGATAGTACTCCATTGTATATAAATACTACATTTTATTTCTTTATTCATCTGCTGATGGGAATATAGGCTGTTTCCAAGATTTAGCTATTATGAATTATGCTGCTATAAACATGGATATGCATGTTTTGCTGTAATATGACAATTTTAACTCGTTCAGGAAGATACCTAGAAGGAGAATAGCTTGGTCAAATGGAATTTCTATTTTTTGTTTTTTGAGGGCTCTCCATACTAATTTCTATAGTTGTACCAGTTCACATTCCCACTAACAAGGTAGGAGACAGCCTCCCACCCCTGCAGCCTCAGCAGCATTTGTTCATAGAGCCAACCACTGTCATATAACTGTAGCCTTTCACCCTACACAACATACCAAAGAGCCTATTTACAGAATTTCTTCACATTGTTATTTGTGTTGTGGTTCTCAGGTGTTTCCATTTTAATTGCCTTTTTTAAAAAGTAATCTGAACATGTGGATGAATAAATGGTGTCTATAAAGTTGCTAAGTACCCAGGCTTTGGAGCTGGAGCCATTGGGTTCAAAACCCTGTTCTTCCTTATTGTTGAGTGACTGTGGATGATTTATTTAGTCATCTCTGTAAAATTGAGTAATGCCCCCACTCTCCAGCTTGGTACTGGAGATTGAACTCATGACCTTTTCACTGATCTATATCCTCAGAACTGATTTTTTTTTAAAAACAGGGTTTCACTAAATTGACTAGTCTGGGCTCAAACTTGAAATCTTCCTTTCTTAGCCTCTCAGACTGGCCTTCTCAATTTTAATGCAAATCACTTAGATCAATCCTTGAAATATGCATGCTATGTAAAAGTCAGCTATTGATAAAGAGAACGATTTTTAAAACACCATCCACTCCCAAAATAAACAAGTGTCATCTTTTTTTTTTTTTTTTTTTTTTTTTTTTTTTTTTTACACCGAACCACTGAGCTAAATCCCTGGCCCACAAGTGTCATCTTACTATGTTTGGTGTTATAAATTGGTACCACATCAGACATAATTGGAGTCTTCCTCCTTCCCACTCAACCCTTACCTCTTGTCTTAGTCACTTTTTTCATTGCTGAGACAAGATACTTGTCACCCAGTTAAAGGAGGAAAGATTTAGTTTGGCTTACAGTTTGTAGAGGTTTCAGTCCATAGGTGGCTGGTCTCAAGGCAGAGTGACATGGCAAGGGGCAACACAGAAGAGGAACAGTTCATGGAGTAGCAGGCAGGAAGCAGCAAGAATAGCAGTGGCCTGCCTCTCCCTTCTATCTCTTTTAGGATACCCACCTTTTAGGTGATGTCACCCATACCCAGGATGGACCTTCCCTATTATCCATACCCCAAACTATGCTAAAGCAATCAGCGGACTAATTTAGTTATCACACACCCTTAATCCCAGCATCATTTTCTTAATCCCAGCATCACATATCCTAGATTCAGCCACTTCTGAAAAGCCCATCTATGATTTCAGGAAGCTTGGAGGAGACATCTATTGTAAGCCATAACACACCATCCTCTTCTCATCCTTTACAAGGAAGTCATTAGGCTCTTCTGTAGGCATTAAGTAATGAATCTTGGAGCTCCTAGGGCTCCCAGTGTGGTTGGGATGAGGTTGATGAACTTTGGGTGGATACAACCTTTGGCTCTGGGGAGAGAGGAACTGACAAATTGGGACCTCTGAAGCCCTTAACCTTGTGTAGTTAGCATGTTTTTACCTTATGTCCCCGTCTGTATTTTAATCCTTTTAACTCATAGGAATTATGACAAAGTGTAGGTAACATTTGGAGTGTTGAAAATTTACATAAATGGTACCATATTCTACCTATTTTTCTGTCACTTCTTTTTTATATGCCACAGTATAGTTTTGAAACCTATTAGTCTTGATAAATAGGGAGAAGACAGCTGATTTACTCAGACTGCTAACAGTTGTTCATTCTATTGAATGGTTATAAGGCAACTTTTCCACTCCTTCATTGAGGGACATACAGCTGATTTTAATTTTTTACAGTTATAACTTTTGTAGTTGACTAATTATAATTGCCTATTAAATTTTTTTTTATATTGTGCAAGAATTGATCTAAGGTAAATGCCTAGAAGGATACTAGCCAGACTGTAGAGGGCATGCACTCTCAGTGTTATTAAATATTGCCAAATTTCTTTCCAAACAGTTGGACCCAACATATCCTGCTACCAACATATGAGATTCTCTGCATCCATGCCAACATTTGGTATTGTTAGACTGAAATATTTTTGCAGATTCTAAGGGTAGAAAAAACAATCTCTTGATTCTGCAATGATTCTGATGTACATGTCCTTGATGTAGTCAGATTTCATGCTTTTTGTATATTTGTCATCCAAGTTTTATTTTTTGCTAGTTGCAGCTTCTATCCTTTACTTGTGTTATTTCTGTTATTTGTGGAGGTTTTATTGGATTTGGAGGAAATTATTTCTGTATTTATGTAATTTGCTCCCTTTTCAGTTTATGTAATTTGTTCTCTTTTATCTACTATCTTCTCAGTGTGTGGCTTAACTTTTGCTTAATAGAGGCATAAAAGTTTATTAGGCTGAATTTAAAGTATACATGCAAAGCAAATAGAGTGTAGGCCCTTGAGAGAGGCATGTTATAGTATGGAGATTGGGATATTTATGTGTTTTGGGAAGTGGAAACGGGTACAATTTGAAAATCTATAGAAAGTTTTGGTTTAATCTAACAGAGAAAAGTGATGGCCCACCCACAGGTAGAAAGGCAGGGCCCAGTCTTGTATTTTTAAAAGATGGATGATCTAAGATGTTTTGTTTTAAAAATGCTCTTTGAAACCTTTGAATCTGTTTCTCCTATGGTCCAGTTTCTACCTTTTACCTTATCAACTAAGATACTATATGGACTTAGGTATCTTTAAAGGATTTTGGGTGGTGATGAACCTGGATGAAAAGAAGCATACACAGCCTAGGGAGTACAGATATGGATAACTTTGGGTAACTTTTTGTTCTAAAGTTGCATTCTTGTTAAAGGTAAAATTTATAAATTATGATTTTCCTTGTCTACTTCCTACCTTATTTCTTCTCTCCCACCTTATTCTCCCTCCCCAGACTTCCCTTATTCTTAAGGCATGCAGATAGGCTAAAGGTTCATCTTGTGGGGCCTTCAGGCTGAGGGTGGGGTGCCCACTCTGCCTAGACAGGAATTAAAAGCCTCACTCTGACTATCTAAAGAAGACATAGGAAGATGGTTTTGTCATTTGATGAGCTATCATCCTCTTTAACTCCTGTCTGGCCAAAAGAAATGTCACTGGACAGGATTCAAAGACATCCCCTAAAGTGGAGATTGGGAAACCTGGAATCACCCCTTCCACAAGACAGATTGCAGGTTCACAGTCTTCCATCACAGAAAAATAATTTTCAGAATTTGTCAGCAAGAGGCATCCAGAGGTTTATTAGGCAGAAT